GAGAGGGACGGCGAGAGGGACGGCGAGAGGGACGGCGAGAGGGACGGCGAGAGGGACGGCGAGAGGGACGGCGAGAGGGACGGAGGGAAGGGCCCAAATCCCAGTTTGAAACACACACGCAGACTGTCCCGGGCGCAGAGACCCCCGCACACACTCGAGGACGTTTTTGGAGAAAGCACGGCACCTGCGATGCCTTAGGTGAGCCGAACCCCACCGCCAGGTCCCCTGGGGCATCGCAGCAGGGCGCAGCAGGGCCAGGCCCCCCCGTCCCCCCCCTTACCTCTCCGCAGGGCCAGGGTGAGCAGGGGTCAGTAGGGTCTGTTGGCATCTTTCGGCCGCTTTAGCTGGACTTTTAGCCTCTTCATGCCGATCTGGAAGCCGTTCATGGCCTGAATGGCTGCCTGAGCGCTCGTCGGATTGTCAAAACTGACGAAACCTGGGGGCGAGGGACGAGGTGACAGAGGAGTTTGTCACCGTAAACATCACAGGTTGCCGCTTTACTTCAGCCAAGGCGTGGAAATCCCGCAGGACGCTCCTGCGGGCAGCCTCAGGCGGAGCCCCGGGTTGGGGGGCTGGGAGAGGGGGATGGTGGGGCAACGGCGCAGCCCTGGATTGCAGGGCACTGGGTGGTGGGCCAACGGCATCTCTGGGGACACCAAGGTCTGCAGGGACACTGGAATGGTCTCTGGGGACACTAAGGTGATGGGATTTGTGGGGACACTGGGGTGACAGGGTCCACCAAAGTGATGGGGACTGCGGGGACACCAAAGTGATGGGGTCTGCGGGCTCATGGGACACCTGGGTGACAGGGTCTGCCAAGACACCGAGGTGATGGGGCCTCCAGAGACAGCGGGGTGACAGGGTCTATGGGGACACCAAGGTGAGCAGGTCTGTGGGGACACCAAGGTCTGCAGGTTTGTGGTGATACCAGGGTGATGAGGTCTGGGGACACCAGGGTGACGGGATTTGTGGGGCCACCAAGGTGACACAGGCTGCTGGGACACTGTGGTGACAGCTCTGCAGGCCAGAGCGTGCTGGTGGCAGCGGTGGCACTCAGCCACGTGAGCAGAGCAGACATGGCAGTGGCAAGCGGTGACCAGCCCTCCCTGGCAGGCACGCAGGCAGATGCACTGGGCTGACATGGGGGACAGCGTAAGAGGGGACAGCAGCAGGGTATGTCCTTCTGTCCTGGCACGGTGCGGGACAAAAAAACTACCCTTTGGCCCCGGGATGGACAACCACGTTGCTCCAGCCACCATGCAGCTTCGGTCACCCATCGGTGCTGCCCGAGCCAGACCCCTGGGCTGGGATGTCAGGGAGAGCCAGACCCCCGAGCTGGGACGTCAGGGAGAGCCAGACCCCCAAGCTGAGGATGTTGGGGAGAGACGGACGCCCGAGCTGGGACATCGGGGAGAGCTGGACCTCCAAGCTGGGGACGCCGGGGAGAGCTGAACCCCCGAGCTGGGCCATCAGCGAGAGCTGGACTTCCGAGCTGGAGACCAGGGAGAGCCAGACCCCTGAGCTGGGACATCGGGGAGAGCCGGACCCTCGAGCTGCGACATCGGGGAGAGCCCCACACCGGGACTTACCAAAGCATTTACTCTGGTTGGTGGCACGGTCCACAAAGACTTTGGCAGAGATGACATTGCCGAAAGGCAAGAACATCTGCGTGAGCTCCGCGTCCCCGAACTCCTGGGGCAGGTGATAAATAAACAGGTTACAGCCTTCGGGACCTGGGTGACACACAAAGGACAGCCGCATGTCAGCCGCGAGGCGGGGGTCACCCCGGGGGGGAGCGAGGAGCCGTCGGCCCTGCGGCGGGGTGCCCCCCACAACCCCTCACCTTCCCGCTGCTGCTGCGGGATGATGGGCGCTTGCTGGGGAAAGGCTTGGCTGATGGGTGCGTAGGCGGTGGGATACGCTGCTGGAAGAGAGAAACATGGAGCTGAGACCTTGGTGCCCACCCCGCTCCCGCCACAGCCCTGGGAAGGGCTGGGGACAGGGTTGTCCCCTGCTGCCACCCTCTATGGAGGTGCCTCTCCTGCCCCGGGGCTGCTGGCTCTGCCCTTCCCACCCCTGCCGGCACGGCCCCAAGTCTCCCGGCATGCCCGGTATGCAATGGCTCTCCCAGGAGGGACGCTGGTGGCAGCAGTACTATGGCCTCAAGGTTGAGGAAAGCCGGCACTTTCGGTTGAAAAAAAGCAACAATTGGGGGTCCAAAACTTGATTTTCTGTTGAAAATCTGAAAATCACTGTTAGTGCTCCTAATTAAATGGCTGCCGGGCTCACTGTACTTCCACTGGATGCTTTGACTCCCTTCTCTCCACATCCCATCTCCCTGGCCATTGGATTCGGCCACGTGACGAACATCTGACAATTTTTGATGTCTCGGTGCCTCCAAGGCGGTCTCTACCAGTGGGCTGGCATGTCGGCACGATCCAGCGTCGAGCTGGCTCTCTATCACCGCCCAAACCTCGCCCCCTCTCCTGGGTACCGCCGCCAGATCTCCCCCACGGAGTTCTCTCAGCCCAGCGGGCATTAAAACTCACTTTCCTCCATCCAAAATTTGCACGGAGGGCCGTGCCGGGAGCACATCCGCATTGCTGGGGACGAGGGGAAGGCACTCTGCACCAGCGTCACCCCCATCGCTGCCCCAGGGTACGGCACGCCGCACTCGGTGCATCACCGCGTTAATCCGTGCCCAAGCACGCTGCCCTAGTCCTGTGGTTCAACCCCAGCCAGCCCCAAAGGCGATGCTCACCCCCCCCAAAAATAAGGGTGAGGAGCAAAGAGGGGAGAGAGGGGAGAAGTGCAAAGCAAAGTTTGAGACCTGCATAGTGCTGCATGCCTGCGTAGGCTTGCTGGAGGGGATCTGCCACCGTGGGGCTTTGAGCTGGGAAGAGAAAAGAAGGGAGAAGGAAGAGAGAATAAGCAAGAGAAGTCCGGGGACGAGCAGCTCCCGCGGGAGAGGGCTCTCGGCCGAGCACTGCCGCGGAGGGGCAGAGCTGCTCCCTGCCGTTTCGTAGGAGCCGAGAGCATTGCCACGCTCGCAAAGGCGGCGATGCCACGGGAGGAGGGATTTCGGTGGGGATCGGTGCACGGCTGGTTCGTCCGGCATGTTCTCGGGGTGGGGAGCACCCCCGGGAGCCTGCCGCGTGAGCCGAGCACGCGTCCCCAGCCCCGGGGGAACGTGGCGGAGCCCCCCGGCAGGCTGCGAGGCGGGTTACCTGGGTAGGGGTGGATGCCGTTGGTGTAGATGGTCTCCGAGGCGGGCTGCCCGTTGGTCTGCGGCGGGAGCGGGCTGAAGCCGTTCACCCCGATCGGCGTGGCGATGCTGGGCACGGGCGCCGTGCTGATGCCGGGGGGAGTGCTTGTACCTGCGGGAGGGAGGCGTCAGCGCCGGCAGCGCCTCCCCCCCCCAGCCCCGAGGATGTCAAGCAGGATGGGGGGGCAAATGGAGGGGAGTTGTACCTGAAGAGGGGGTGAGGGGGGCGGCCACCAGCCCGCTGACGTTGAAGGCGGCCATTTGCTGCATCTGGGCAGCGGCGATGGCAGCCATGGGGTTCAGGCAGGTCCCCTGCGCGGCCGCCATCAGGGCCGCCTGCTGCTGCATGATCTTAAGGAAAGAAAAGGGGGAAAAGGGGAAAGCGAGCGAGAGGCAGAGAGAAGGGGGGAGCAGGGGAGGATAAATTAGCATCCCCCCTTTGCACCCACACACGGGGGCTCAGAGGGATAAATGCCACCCGCTGCCGGACCCAGGGACAGGAGGAGGTCTAAGTGACACTAAAAAAGGTGATATATGGGACCGCTGCGCCCTACAGCCATGCCACCCTCACCCAGGAGGGGTGTGTGTGAAGCCCTCTGTTGTGCCCCTAAATGGGGATACACCAACCCTGACGGGCATCCGCACCCATTTGGCACTGGTACAATCCCACGCAGGCTTTCACAGGCAAAACACACACACACACACCCCCCCCCAAACCGCGGGGCTCCCCAAAAACCCCCAGGTCCCGGCCGGCGCCAGCTCCTACCGCTTGCGTATAGGCCCCGTAGGCGCCGAACTGGATGGTCATGGGGTTGAAGATGCCCAGCTGCCCCGCCATCTGATGCATCCGCCGCAGGGTCCTCTCCTTATCTGTGTCCGCAAACTTCACCACCAGGCTGGACGAGGCGCCCTGAGACGGGGGGAAGATGGGGCTGATGGTGGGACCCCGGCAATGCCCCTGAAATGTCTCCCCGCTCCGGGGAGGGACCCGCTGGCTCGCAGCGGCCGCAGCATCCTTGGCCCCAGGGATGCTGCCTGGCTTGGCAGCAGCAACCAGCGATCGATGCGAAGTTTAATTATAGCCGGCTTTTCTCCCCAGCGGCGGCTCCCTGACCTCTGTTTCCTTTTTCCTCCTCCTCGTTCACAATTTTGAACTTCAGTGTTAATTAAACAGCCCCTTTCTCCAGCACGGAGGGAATTAGCCCCATGCGCCCACCTCCGGGGCTCAGCGCCCAGGCAGGGATGAACCTCGAGTTGATCCGGCCAACAAATTGCCGGTCCGTGGGATTTTGATCCAATTAGATAGAGGATCAAATTAGCTGGTGATTGGATTACGCAGGCAGCACGGGGCCGAACAGGGCAGGGCGAGAGCCGAGCACTTACCGGCATGGTTTGGCTGCCGTGCAGGCTGTTGATGGCAGCCTGTGCCTCGGCGTGGCTGCCGTATTTCACAAAGGCACAACCTAAGGGCAGAGAGGGGACAAGGGAGGGATCGGATTCGGCCGCTGCAGGAGCCAGCGCTGCCCGGCCAGCAGCTCCCACCCTCCGTGGGTCCCGGCGGCCCACGGGGTGCTCACCCGGCTCCCCAAAGCCCACCTTTGCTGGCTCCATCGGGCCCTCGGAGGATGGTGCACTCCTCGATCTGGCCGAAGGGTTCAAAGAGGCGCCGGACGTCGTCCTCGCTCTGCTGCTTCCCCAGCATGCCCACAAAGAGCTTCCTGTCTTCTAAAAACAAAACCAAGCCCGTCGGAGAGCGGGATGCCACTCTCTGTCCTGTCCCCTCATCCCTGGTTTGCAAACAGCGCACAGAGGGGAAAGAGCCGGGTGACGCCGGAGCCTGGGGAGGGAGCGATGCCGGTCCGGCAGCAAAGACACAGAGTTTATCACCTCCATCCTACGAAACGCTCGGGTTGGGAAAACCTCTCCTGCAGGGAAATCGCCTAGGGGTGAAGCTGGGAAGAGCCAGCTCCCGCTTCGGGGACCGGAGCTGGGGCTTCTCCCAGGGATGGAGGAGCTGGCTCCCCCGGCACCGATGCGGGATGTGGCTGGGATACAAAGAGAGCCCGCAAAACACCGGCGATTGCCTTCGTGTGATTGACTCACAGAATAACCCGCAGCCTCCGGCCGTGCCCAGGAGACATAAATAAACCAAACACAAGAGAAGGGAGAGTAAATAATGAGAATTTCATTATTATTACCAGCATCTGTCTTGCGCGGCTGCGTGCTCCCGCCGTGCGCTAATGGCATTTGACAAAGAAAATAAGGTGCCCTGTCAAGACCGTTGCCGGGGAAATAAATAAATAATGGCAGGAGACGATTAATGCTCTGTCCGTTATGGTACCGGGAAAATTAGTTAAGGGAATAGGGCTCGTGTGTTGTCTAGTTAAACATAAACCATCTCCTGGTCAAGGCGGCCGGGGGGAGCGGGCTCGGCATCCGAGCATCGCCTCCTAGGCAAGGGGGCCGGAGCCGAGCACCTGAGCTCGCCCATCGATTTTTAATCCTTCACCAATTATGCTCGTTAAGTGGGCAATTTATTTGCTGGGTCTCTCCAGGACGTGCCAGGACCAGCTCGCGGCATGTTTAATAACGTGGTTTGAATAGGGGGATATCTACCCTGGCCGTCCCGCCGAGGGCAGGCAGCCCCATGCTTGCATCCCGCATGTCCGAGCGTGCCTACACGCCCAGAGCTTGCTCGTGGCACCGGGAACATCAGGGAGTTTTGACCCGATTCCTGCAATTTTGCCCAAATTATTGACTCAGCCTGGAAACGCCGTGGCCCCACGAGCCGCAAACCCCCACGGAGAATTTGGGCGGGGGCAGCGGTTTCTGTTTGAGAGGGGCTCGGGCCATGCATGGCCAACTCCTGCACTCCAACTCTGCTGGGGTCCCCGCCGGCAGCTCCGGGCGGGTAATTAGGTTGTTTGATAGACGAAAGGGCTGTCGGAGAGCAGCTGGCTGGCACTCTGCCCAGCACGATGTCAGGATGTTCATGGCATGACGTCAGGACGTCCATGGCATGACGTCAGGATGCTCCCCACAGCCGGCCAGGCAGGGAGAGCCGAGATCGCATTTGCTCTGCGCTCGGGTTTGGATGTCACCGGCAAAGGCAGCTCCTTTCGCGGGTTTCTCTGCAAACAAACCTCCCCACAGCAGCCCCCGCGATGCCACCGTGTCCCCCGTCACCCCCCTGGGTGGCCCTGTGCCCCCCTGCCCGCGTGGGGCAGCCGGGGAAGGGGGGACCTACCTCCTCGGCCCTCGCTGTCGGCCGGCTTCACCTGGATAGGGCGGTTCATCTGCAACACACAAGCGGGAGCGGGCAGTCAGTGGCCGTGCCGTGCCCCCCCGCAAACCCCTTCCGTGGGGAATAGCAGGATTTGGCCCCAGGGGGCTGGGGTGGGGAGCAGGGGAGGGACCTGCAAGAACAGAGCCGGGGTTTGTGGCCACACTGAACCGGGGATGCCGACGGCGGAGGGCGATGCTACGGCCCCGGGGATGGGTACCCGGTGCCGCAGGCACCCGCCAGGCCGCCGGTGCCAGCCTTGGCCGCCTGCCTGCTTTCCTCGACTGCAAAGGACTGCAGAGGCGGCAGCAATGCCCGGCCGGCCCCGGCCCCTCCGGCAGCACCGCCACCACTCTTCTTTTCCTGATTCTCACCCAATTTCAGCCTCCTCCCGTGCATCACCGCTGTGTGTACCCGCAAGCGTGACACGCGTGTGCAGTAGGACACGCTGGGCCAGTGCACATGTCCCTGGCCCGCTGCCCCACGGAGCCATTTCTCCTCCTCTCTCCCCCTCCTTTTTCCCCTCTTTTAGCCGAAAAATGCTACAATTATATCCGTTTCCACGGCAACAAGCGTGCTTCCCCCGCGATGCTGCGGAGCCTGAGCCATGTGCTCGATGGGGTCGTCACGGCAACGGCAGGATGTCACGCATGACAGGGCGGGTGTGCGCGCACACGTACACAGCTCGAGCACGCACAGGGACAGCCGCACACACCCGTGCTGCTGTCGCACCCATGCTCGTATGTACCCCCACCCCAGGGTTCCCCCTGTGCACCCCTGGAGGGGGTCCCCAAATTTAGAGGCTGGGTGAGGGCAGCACCAGCCCTCCCCCCGGGGTGAGGAAGAGGATGGTTAAGGAAGAAGAGGAGGGAGGTTTCCACAGCAACCGCCTCGTCTCCAGGGAAACACGGGGAGAAATGTCAGCACAGAGCCAGGGATGCTCCAGGGAGAGGACCAGGTCCCCAGGAGCCATGGGGTGGCACCGAGGGACACGGGGGGGGCCACCCGGCTGCCCTCGCGTCACCCATCGTGTCGCCGGTCCCCCAAACATCCACCCCAACCCCTGCACGGGGGCAGGATCCAGCTCACCCCAAACCCCAGAGGCTGTGACAGCAGGGAGACCCGTGGGACCAACATCCCCCTCGTCCCCCATATCCCTGCCATGTCCAGGAAGAGGGAACCCCATTTTGGGGGGGGGCTGCCCCCCCTCCACCGACCCACCAGTCCCATTTACCAGCACGATGGCCTTTGATGGAATAAATTTCCCATGCCCACTGCTGTATGCTTAATGTAATAAACCCAGCGAGTATGATTTAGAATAACATTTACGGAGCCGCAGAGTGTCATTTTGATGTGTCTCCCGTCTCCGCTCGCCGGTTATTAAACTGTATTGATTCTCCGGGAGCGGCTGAGCTTTTCCGGGAGCGGCTGATGTTTATAAATGTCAGGCCTCGGGGACCGGCTAACCTAACCCAGGGCTGCCGCACCGCGCCGGGGAAAAAACGCCCCTGTCCGTGGACACCCCTGAAAGGGGCTTTTGGCACCCCCGGCATTGCCCCGTGCCCACCCCGGGGTGCTCGGTGCCCCCGTACCAGCTCCTGTGGCACAAGCGGACAGCGTGGGCACCCAGACCTCCCCCCGCGTCCGGTTGTCTGGTGCTCACCTGTCCGTCTGTCCCCACAGCACCCCTGCACCATGCCCCTGCGCCCACACAGTCACCCACCGCTGCCCAACAGCCCTCCATCCATCCCCCGACACCCAAACAACCACCCAGCCGTCTCCCACTCCTCCTGACACCCATCCGTCTACCCCCCAACCCCCATCCATCCATTCACCCATCCCCGACACCCACACAATCACCCATCCACCCACCTCCCCCCAAGATTCACCCACCAATTCACCCATCCATCCCCCAGCACCCATCCCCGTAACACTCATCTATCCCAATAGCACCCATCCATATCCCCAACACCCATCCACCCCTATAACACCCATCCATCCAGCCCCGTAACACCCTTACACCAGCCCATCCATCCCCCACCTCCCTACCACCCACCTTTCCACCCCCATAGCACCCATCCCTCCACACCCATAGCACCCACACATCCATCCCCCAACTCCCACCCATTTCCCCCCCATCCTTGCACACCCCAAGGACATGCTGACGCACCCAGGGTCACAGGAGACCCTGTCTGGGGTGTCCCAGCACCCACCAGTCACTGTCACCCGTGGGTGCCCCACAGAGCCCCAGCTATGGCACCCCATGGCCAAACCACCGGTCTGCTACAGCCCAAGGGGGTCACCACCGGTTGCTAAACCATCACCTGACCCCTCGGACACTGTCCCCCACCCAAATTCGGAGCCCCCCAACAGCCTGGGCATCAGGGAGAGCCAGCCCACGGTGGATCCCTGCTGGGGGACCCGCCCTGTGGGACAGGGTCACCTCTGGCCCTTGCTCCTTCCTCGGTGTCACCCTCCTCCTCCTCATGCCCAACAGCCAGAGGGATTTCAGGCGCAGGCCGCCACGCATCCAAATGAGCCGAGACAGAGGCATCGGGTGATGCTGGAGCAGCGGGCACCCGCGGGAGCCTGGTGCCCACGTCACCCCAGGTGTCCCCAGGCAGCCAACACCCGGTGCAGGGAGACGGGTGCTCGGATACAGGCAGCCACCCATCATGGGAACACCCTGCCATAAGGGGAACACCCTGCCAGAGCCCTGGGGGTGAACTCACAGCAAGGGGACACAGCCGGCCTGGGGATAGTCACACTACCCCACAACTCCGCACAGACGCACGACCATCCTAGCACACCCACACACACAACCACACATCCCCTACAGTCGCACTCCCGCTCCTGCACACCCCTATGCACAACCACAGACCCACGCACAGCATCCTCTGTGCACACCCACGCACCACAGCTGCACGCTCGCCTCAGCACCCCCTCTGCACAACTGTACACCTACACAGCCGCATGCTTGCACCCACGCACAACTGTACATCCATCCTAGCATGACTGCACACCCACGTGCAGCCACGCACCTACCCCAGCCCCGTGTACACCCGCACACGACACCCCTACACCTACATACCCTGAGCCCAGAGTCCTCATGAGCACCCACTCACCCACAGCCGCACACCCATACAACACCCACAGCACCCTCCCCACAGCTGTGGACCCCGTACAACCACAAGCACACACCCCAGGGTGCACAGCCGGCACCACCATCCATGCCAGGCAGGTACACAACACCCCTTGCCTCAGTTTCCCCATTGCGGCAGCAGGACCCACAGTGGGACCCCCGGCAGCCCTCTGTGGACACACGGACACCCAGTGCTGGTCAGCACCCCTGGACGGCCATGGTTCACCCCCAGCAGCACCCACACCCCATCCCCACCACCACCCACGCACACCTGAGCCCTGCGCACAGCCGGCCAGCCCCCCCACCGGGCACTCACAGTGTGGGAGCCCATGCAACACGCGTACGCACACACGCACTCTCTGCTCCCTGCTCACACCCAGTGTGCGCACACACCCACGTGCACACACTTACACACCCACCACTGCCACACCCCAGGCCCACGTACACCCACACCCCACCACCACGCGCACAATCGCTGGCTGCAAAGACACCCTTAGCACCTGCTTACACACACAGCCACCGACACGCTTGCACACCCACCACCCCCGAGTGCAACCACTCCCCACCAACACCCACTTGCGCACACCCCAGGCGCAAAACCATACCCCTGCCAACGCACGTGCACCCCTGCACCATCTGTGGGTGCAACACCCGCCCCGAGCACATCCCCTCGCACACCTGCAACCACACACACAGAGCACCAACACACACACACAAACCCAGGGTGGAAAAATACACCCTCCAGCCAACACACAAACACACAAACCCATCCCCGGGTGCAGATACACCCTCCTCACCAACAGAGGCATGCACACACTCCATCTCTGCCTGCAAATACACCCTGCCCACCACCACCCCCCCCACCACCACCACACACCATTCCTGGGTGCAGATACACCCTCCTCACCAACACCCCCTGCCAATACCCTCCCCATCCCTCGATGCAGCTACACCCTCCTCATCAACACACACACACTCACAACCCCCATCCCTGCGCGCAGATACACCCTCATCACCAACAACCGCCCTGCCAACACATGCACCCCATCCCCGGGTGCAGATGCACCCTCCTCGCCAACACCCACACTCGGACACCCCATCCCCGGGTGCAGATGCCCCCTCCTCGCCAACACCCACACTCACACACAGCATCCCTGGGTGCAGGTACACCCTGCTCACCAACACCCCCCCAATCCCCATCCCTGGGAGCAGATACACCCATCTCACCAACCCAGGCATGCACGCACCCCATCTCCGCGTGCAAATACCCCCTCCTCACCACC